TGAGGCTCAGCATTTCATAAACCTTTTTTTTGAGGGAGTTAGTTATACAAGATCTAGTGAATAAAACCCACGGGGGCTAAATAAACTACAGGATTTAAACTACCCCATTCCTGGCAATGATGTCAAGAAACGCAGAGACGACAGTATCAGGAACACTCTTGGAAGACCAGGCCCTCGCCAGGAGAGACTTCCCTAATCTTGGCCCTGCCTGCTCTGGCAGGGCCTGTGAGGGAAGGGGCACATGGAAGGACAGTGCAGCTGGCCCTAGATGCAGGTCCCCCAGGCTTGTACTGGCACGGGGAGCGGAGAGGAGCTTCATCAAACTACAGACAGGTCCCTTGACACTGGTGGGGACCACATTAGAGGTCCATGTCCCTGAAGCAGGGTGGGTGTTCTCCCTGACCCGAGAGCCACAGAAGTGAGTACTAGGTTGGTAAGCCAAGGGTGCGATGCTTGGTCTAAAAGTGGAACAAAACTATTTGCATCTTGCAACAAGTTGGGCTCTAAAGGGGAACAAACTGAATGAACCCCATTTTTCTCCTGTTTTTCTCACTCAAATGGAAGCACATTCCATGGCATATGGGATCTTTCGTTCGTCTTATCTACTAAAGAACCATTTCCAGTTTTGAACTGCAGATTTCACCAGAACTTAGACATTGTGAATTGAGACACATTCATCTCTTTTACTTACAATTCATAATAGCCAATGCGGAAGACATTCTAACCCAGAACGAGATACTCAAGTAACAGAAAGTGGCTTTTCACATACAGTTCCTTTCAAGTTTCAGGTTAGGGGCCCAAGCTGCACTTTTAATCCAAGGGAAGGCAGGACGCCAGGGAAGTTGGCAAGGACCAAGGCAGGACTCCATGCCCCTCCCCGCAGAGCTGCCTGGAGGAAGCAACTCTATCTCCTGCAGGGGCAAAAATGGACTTAAGACCTTTTTTTTTTTTTCTTCACAGAAAAGATGATTAGTGGAGTAATTTCTGTTGTCAAATGGAGAAAATTCTGTGGGAAGCATTTTCTTTTTAATGTGTGCATAAAGTGGGGCAGGAAAGGGAGCAGAGTGCATGACCTTGAATAGGACACTGAAGTGTGTCTATCTATGGTAAATTTGGAGGAGACTGCCCATCTACCTCCTTAGTATCATCTGAGACATCGCCCCCCCCCCCCAAGGCTGCCTCAGGCTTCAGTTGCTGCTGCTTCTCAAACCCCTGCCTCAAAAAAAACAAAGGAGCTTGCCTAAGAAATCATGGCAGTTGTAGCCAGACATCACCCCATCAGATGGGGTTTGGTGGGGGTGGGGGCAGCTTGTCCAGGCCCTGCAAAGGCTGCTGGACCTGTACCAGAGGCCTGCATTGCTGCTGTCAGCAACAGAGCAGAACTTGCTCTTGAGTGTCCTCTGTCACAGGCCAGAAAGACAGTCTGGAAACTGGTTGTGCTCGCATATTATCTGAGCATCTGTGTGGTAAGGGCCACGGAGGGATTGCTGTTTCTGCTTTGTATGGAAAACTAGAATTCCATTATGCTGCAATCAATAAAAAAATGCCTTATTCAAAAAGGAATGTGATTGCAAAGACATCCCCCAATTATGGGCTCACCTTTTACAGATACTCTGCCTTCTGGGATGGCTCTTCCCCCATGAATAGGAATGTTCCTTGGATATACTTGTCTCACATAAGTAAAAAAAAAAAAAAAAAAAATTATGTACACACACAAGCACACGTGTATACATATGCGTGCGTATTTACCTGTATATTCATAAATGGTCACTGGAAGGATCTACCTGGAACAAACTTTAAGAGTGGGAGTTCAAGAGCTGATAAAGCTCGGCTTGCCAGGTCAGGGATGCAAGGAAGACTTTATGATTTGTGAACTACGCGAAGGGATTACCTACTCAAAAACTTAAGGAGTAGCACTCAGGGAGCACAATGGGCAAAGGTACATGGTACCTGGAAGTGACTAGGGAGGATCATGAGAGGCAAAGGAAGGGACCCAGGCAAACCCAGACCCCAGGGGGAGCCCCTGTCCCTCAGGAGGCTCCTGCTAAGGTTTTGTTGCTTACCTGAACTACAGAAGAGCCCCACGTGACCTGCATAATGATGCTGCCTATAATCAGGAGCTTCCATGACCCCAGGCCTACTGCCCACCAGACTTTGGACGTGGCTGGTCCACACAAGAACCAGCAAAGATGTTACAGTTCTTAGGTGGTAGATAAGGGAACCAGCTTTGAGAGGCTAAGTTCCATGAAGACACATGGCTGGTGAATGGCAAGGGGTGATTTCAAATCACTCTGAGCGCTTTTTCTGTCCAGAGCTCTAGGGATGCCTCCCTGTGTTTGTTTTGTAATTCTCAGCCTTTCAGAAAATTACTACAGTTGTTCAGAATAGCTTAGCAGAGCAGGACCAGGCCATGGAGGTGACAGGCTTTGAAGTGGGGCTGTGGAAAGGGGCAAATCATTCTGATGGGCCCAAGGGACTTGGCACTGGGGCAAAGGATCTGCATTTGTCAAGACGTCAAGAACAAGCTATCTGGCAATGATGGGTTGTTCCCTGTATTCTTCCCCCCAGACCTCCCATGGGCCATCTGCTCCCATCTGGCCATTTTGGTCTTGTCCTCTCCCTGCCTCGGTGGGCACAGACTAGAAGGACCTTACCTGCTAGGAACAGGCCCAACCAAATCACACTGTGGCAAAGGAAAGCAGCAGAGGGACAGTATCTTATGCCTACTCATTCAGGAATCAAGTCAGGCTGGTTTTGTTCCCTGTTCCCTGCTTCTGAAGCCAGCCGAGTTCAGCTGTACCCCTAGCAATAACTAGATAATGATGCAGCCACCCATGGAGTTCAGTTGGGGCTGAGTTACGTTCTTTCAACCTACAGCATACAAGTAACATCCAATCTTTGCGCTGCTTAAGACACATTAAGAGAAAGTAAAAAACTGCTATGTCACCAGCCAGTGGCCCAAAAACCGACAGACCAAAAGACCCTATGTCTACAGATTAACAAAAGGTCACCAACAGAAGACAGATGTGGCCAAGGTGGCCTCACTCTAAGGTGTAAGCCTGTGCCAAGAATATTAGGGGATCCTTAGCTCATTCTTTAAAAAGGTCCAGATAGAGATTGAACCTTGTCCACAGAAAGCTGTTTTACCCAGAGTTAAAGGAAGATGTGAGTGAAGCGCGGGCCGCGGGCAGTCACGGCAGTGCGGCAGAGAGTGCTGGAGGAGGACCTGGGTGCGGGGAGCAAGTCCATTCAGGCTGTGTCGCTGAGAGTCGCAGGAACTACTGTGTGTGGCCCTGGCCAAGCTGCAGTGAGACAGGAGCCAAGAAATGAGCTCGAGCAGAGGGAACATGTTCCCCGCCCCCCGCCCAGCCCCATCCTGGCAGAAGAGCTGCGTTTACCAAGGCCTCCGCACTCAACGGGTGTCGAGGTCACATCGGCAGTACCTCGCGCGGGTTGGAGCCCGGGGGAGGGCGCACAGCATTCTTGAGCTTTCCTCTAACGGCGGGAGCAACGCACCAACCCTGTCAACCTGCGCTTCCTGTAACACAGGAAACAAACTCCTCTACCTCCCTGCACATACAGGGACTTGTGGCTGCCTCATACTGACGCACAGGGACAGAAAAAGGCCGCAACTGATCGGTTAGAATCCTGCTTGAAGCTGTGAGCTGAAATCATTTGCGGTTTAGAGCACGAGAACTCCTCCTCTGAGGGGAAAAATTCTCTTTCCTCTTTGAACCCCACAATGACAAGGTGAGATCTGTCCCAAGGCCATTCCATGGGAAATGGTGGGTGTTGGCCGCTAATGAGGCTAGTCCAGGCTTACTTCCGACACTGGTCACTGGAAACCTTTCACTGTAAACAGGGTGCTTTGCAGCATTAAGCTCCACTGTGCTACCAACACAGAACGCAGAAACGATGAGAGGAGGAATGCACGAAAAGTTCTTTTCAAGGATGCCCAACAGGCTAAGGCTTTCATATAAAAATATCCCACACTTCCTCGCCCTGTTTAAGCAGCAGCCAGTTGGCGTGCCATGAATAGGTCACATGGAGGAAACAGCCAATTCTGACCAACTGGATTTGTAATTTTCCAAGCTGGATTCTGCCCAGCACTTTCCTAGGCTAGTGGGAATTTTCCTCCTCCTCTGACCTCAGCCACCTGAGCCAAGGACAGGTTCCCTCTCCCGTTCTAAGATGGTAGAAACTAGATTCCAGAAAAAATGCTGTGAACAGAGTAGCAAAGCTTCCTCCATCCGCTCTCCATACCATGCGGACCACATTTCCAATGAGAAACTGTCCCCCTCACACCTGTGGAATGAGGCAGAGCTGTTGACAAGGAGTCCACCCTATGACAGAAGGAGGGCTGTGGAAGAGAACTTTCTATCTGACCCAAAGCCACTTCAGATAGCTAATTTGTACAGTATTCGTGAACCCAAATGGATGGAGTCATTTCTAGAAAAGTTGGACAGAAGAGCTAAAGAGCAGCATGCATGTCTCTCCTATAAAGACACTTTCAGTTACTGAAGTCTGAAGAGTGAGGCACACACCAGCGGGTGAAGAGCCCTGCAGTGGCTTCCTGACACTACTTACAATTTCAAGTGGATCCCTGGCTTCACAATTACATAATTACATAAGGATCTTATTTGAGATGCTTTAAATTGTTAAAATGTCAACGACAGGCATTTTCTCTTAAGTAGAAACGGTCAGAGGGAAGAGAACAGGGAAGGAGGGGGGAGAGGAAAGGGGGTCAGCATCCTCTCATCTCAGCAGGGCCGGGAGGACTGGCCATTCTCAGGAAGGAGCTCCCCTTGGGAGCTTACGAAGGCAGTGGGCTGAGACTAGCAGCTGTGCTGGAAGCACAGTGCACGTGGGGGTGTGGGCAGCACCCTGACTCACACAGGAACAGCATGGGCTCAGAGGCCCGCCCCTGGCTCGGGCTCCTGATGGGCAGTTTGGCCAGCCCCCACTGGGGAGTCAGGGGGTAGATAAGAGGAAATGGCTTCTGACCAGGCCTTTCCAAGCACATCTAATGTTTTTAGATGATTTGATAAGCAAGTGTCGTGAACTTGAGGGAGAAGGGGTGGCAAGGGGCACTGCTGCTCTGTGGTAACCAAAGCCCTTGGGTTCCAAGATGACCTTATCAAAGGAACATAATGTGAAAAGCCTTGTTGGCACTGCCTCACCAATCACTGGCAACCAGTCGTGCTTCAGCTGAGGTAACGGCTGGTTTTACTTGGCTCGGGCTGCCGGGAGGGTCTGCTGCTGCAAAGGCATGCATGGTCTGCATAGAAGCTCATCTGTCCGCAGGGTGGGGGGCAGGGGTGGCTTTAAAGACCTGCCCTCAGTTCCCTTCTCTAACAGTTCTGTTTATCTTCCCTTCTGCTTGATAAAGATTCACCTTGATACGGAGATAAGTATCTGGGAGACAGAGTAATGGCATCAGCAAGAGACCCTCATGAAATTTCTTGAACATAACCGGAAGGCTCATCTGTCATCCACTCCTCTTCTCTTGGCATGGGGTAGTGGCAGCGTGCTTTGGTTGTCACAAGACCCAGAAGTCTGGGTTTCCAGCTTAGCTGGCCCGAGTTCTTCATGAGGCAAAGGAAGTGGCAGCTGGTGCCCCAGGTAGAGCAGCCAAAACAGAGACCGCTTGTGTTCCTCCTGGCTCCACATGGACGTCGGATCCCGCAGCAGTTTGATCCTTGGGGGACCTATACAATGTTCTCTGCCCCAGGGAGGGGCCCCTGTGGGGGTCCACGGTCCTGCTTACTGTGCAGCTGGGCCAGCTGCAGAACTGGCATGTTGCACAGCGGACACACCTTCCGAACCTCCAGCCACTTAATAAGGCACCTGCAAAGCAAGACAACACAGGAGGAAGCAGTCAGTCGCGTGCTTGTGGAGCCTCCTGCCCACGGGCCTCATGGGTTGAACACCTCTGTCCCTCATAGCCAGGGGCCTGTGTGAACACTCTGGTCCCAAACAGCTCCACCAGCAGGCAGACCAGAGCTTCTAGTCTTCCAAAAGGTGATACTAAGAAACCACAGTCAGCATGCTATATCCTCAAATTATCCGTGACGTGTTCATGAAGTACACTGAGGACGGTGGTGGGAAGTAGGAGAAATAAAAGTTTTTAATAGAAATAAAAACACAAAATTGTCAGAGAAGAGGAAATACTAATATGTCTGCATGGGAGATGACCTCACTCTACCATTTACATTCATACTTTATTTTTATTTAAAAATAATGATGGTTTTGGGGCGCCTGGGTGGCTCAGTTGGTTAAGCGACTGCCTTCGGCTGTCATGATCCTGGAGTCCCGGGATCGAGTCCCACATCGGGCTCCCTGCTCGGCGAGGAGCCTGCTTCTCCCTCTAATCCTCCCCCCTCTCATGTGCTCTCTCTCTCACTCTCTCAAATAAATAAATCTTTAAAAAAAAAAAAAATGGTTTTGATTAAGTTTTTAGGAATAGAAGCTCTCATTGGAAAGTTTCAGTTAAGTAGCTGTTTATAGCCTGGGCTCGAAGGAGGTGTGGGCTTATCTGGCCGTCTGCCCAAAGTCCTGCCTGGTGGTCATGTTCCACCACCCTGATCACTCCTAAGTGTCACGTGTGTACACACACACACACCCACACACACCTCACCCTTAGGGTGCGTTCCGCTTTCTGCATTACAGACCAATCATAAAACTGTCAAGCTTGTCCGGCACTGCCCCAAGCCCATGAGTTACTTGACAAGCCTCAAACTCAGGTCCCTTTAAATAATTCCACACCAATACTCACTTTCTGTGGAAGGCATGCTTACATGGACAAATGCCCAACTCATCTCGAGGCTTGAAGTCTTCTAGACACACTGCACAGAGCTGAAAGACAAATTCACAGATGAGGCAAAGTGTCTGCTAAGTACTCTCTCGTAGGCCCTAAAGTCAAGTGCAGACCCCAGCCATTTGAAGGGACTTACAAGGTCCCATGACTGCTTAAATGAAAGAAACAGGCTGGAATGGACCAGGTCTTCTGAAGAAGAGTCTCCTGCTCTTCCTGTCACATGTCTTCAAGATGGAGGGCAGACAGGAATAGACTGCAAAAGGCAGCTTCCTTTACTTCAGTGCATCAGAAGAGTCTCACTTAGGTTTATTCTCAGTAGACAGGCTGAATATAATGCAATTTTCCTGTGGTGGGTGAGGGGCTGACTTTCCCAGGGAATGTCTGTTCAGCAGCACAGCCCCTAAGGGGGACACGCCTCATGCCCTGGGGCAGGCCCTGGTGGTCTTCGGTTTTTCATGATGTAGAAACTATAAACCATGGCACAGCCTGCAGTAACATGCTTTTTTTTAGTTCCCGGGGCCCCTCGCTTTGGCACAGACTGTCCTGTCAGTGTCTTTGTCATTCAAGAGTCACTGAAGTTAAACTTACGAAAATATACAGATGGGGCTAGGATCACTCTCTGACCGGGGGCTAGGCTCCACAGCCTGGAAAGAGGCCTTCAGAGCCAGATGCTGGATTCCAACCACTGCTTCTTGGGCACATACTAGCGCCCAGGGACATCAAGTATCATTGCATATACCCACTTTACAGATGAGAAAACAGAGGCTCAGAGCCATAACCACCTTGGTGAGTAGCCGGGCCTGGCTGGGGACCAAGGTCCATGGCACTGATGTGCTGCTGTACTACTTGTCTCCTGCCCAAAGGTTAAACTTCCCCCTGCTTGCTTCCCTGTCCATCTCCAGGGATCCTGGTTCAACCATCACCATTTCCTGTCCATCCCATTGACATGACCTCCCTGTTGCCTGTATCTTAACCTGTAATATGTAACCCAGTCTTCTTAGGTTATGTGACAGGACACGTGGCTCTTGGTGCCCTGTGGCCAGTGCTGTGAATGTTGGTTTTCCAGCATCCTTCTCTGGGAAGCTCTCAGGCTTGTGTATACAGCAGAGAGGATCCTCACAGGAGGAGGAGGAAAATGGGTAATTGTCTTAGGTTCAGCACTACTGTGGAGACAGCAGGGGACAAGACAGTTAGCTTTGGCTCAGACACCCACTAGCTGTGGGACCTCTGCCATCATGATGCTTCTCAAGCTCTGTTTCTTCATCTGTAAAGTGGGGACACTACCTGCCCCACTGTCATCAGTTCAGACGAGGGGCAGGGCTGAGGAGGCAGTAAGGCAGTCTACCAATACTAGTTGTTTTTATTTATGTTTACATTTCATGATGGGAACACTATTTTTAAGCCCATTTTTGACTTCTGGAGGAAGGCTGAGAACAAGCTGTGGGGAAAGATGGGAAACTAGCAGTTCCAGCCATGGGGGTGGTCTTTTTGGGCCTTAGCTTCCCATCTGTAAAGGGGGATGATGTTCCTACTTCATAGACCATATGAACAGGCCCTTCTGGCCTTAAACACCAAGCTTCCCTCCCAGCACAGGGAGGTAATGAGAGCCAGGACTGTTGGCTCTGCTTCTGGAGATTCAGTGTTGATCCTACCAAAGGGCAGGAAGTTGGTCAAGCCACTCACTTTAATTTGCTTATTTTTCTAGGATCCAAGATTAGACTTGTGTAGCTTTTTCAAAAGGGAGTTATGATTAATGGTTATAATGTGCTATTATGTTCTTAAATTCTAAAACCCATGGTCACCTGAAAAAAAAGAAAGATAAATTCTGACATGTTAAGTGCCAAAGGTGACCAGAAGCCAAGGGCAGTCACAAAGAGAAAAGCCTTAGATCTGACTTCTCAGAAGTTCCATGAAGGGCCAAACTAATTTTACAACTTTACAGATCATATTTTGCAAATCAGCTTTACTTTCCAGTATTTCAACAAGATTGCTTCTCCAGTGTAACTTCCCATACCTTTACCTTATTTATTTATTTATTTATTTATTTATTTAAAAGATTTTATTTATTTATTTGAGAGAGAGAATGAGAGAGAGAGAGAGCACATGAGAGGAGGGAGGGTCAGAGGGAGAAGCAGACTCCCTGCTGAGCAGGGAGCCCGATGTGGGACTTGATCCTGGAACTCCAGGATCATGACCTGAGCCGAAGGCAGTCGCTTAACCAACTGAGCCACCCAGGCGCCCTACCTTTACCTTTTTAAAAATGGAGATGTAATTCACGTAATAGTCACCGCTTTAAAGTATATAATTCAGCAGTTTTTAGTATATTCACAGAATTGTGCAACCATCACCACTAATTCCAAAACATTTCATTCCCTGCCCCCAAAGCCCAAACCCATAAGCAGTCACTCCTCATTCCCCCTTCTTCCCAGGCCCTGGGAACCACTAATCAACTTTCTGTCTTGATGGATTTGTCTATTCTGGTCATTTCCAGAATGAAATGGAATCATGAAATGGTATCTTACAATATGTGGTCTTTTTTGTCTGCCTTCTTTTACTTAGCACGATGCCTTCAAAGTTCATCCATGTTTATTTTTATGGCTAAATAATATATTTTTGTTTATTTATGGCTAAATATATATTTGTTTATTCATTCATATGTTGATGGCTACTTGGATTGTTTTTACCTTTTGGCTATTGTGAATAATGTTGCTCTAAACAAGTAATTGAGGGGCACCTGGGTGGCTCATCTGCCTTTGGCTCAGGTCATGATCCCAGGGTCCTGGGATGGAGTGCCACATCAGGCTCCCTGCTCAGTGGGGAGTCTGTTTCTCCCTCTGCCTGCCACTCCCCCTGTTTGTGCTCGTTCACACTCTCTGACAGATAAAATCTTTAAAAAAAAAAAAACCCACAGCAACAACAATAAACCGAACAAGTAATTGAGTTTTCAATTCTCTGGGTATATATCTAGGAGTAATTGTTAGGTCATATGGTAACTCTATATTTAACTTTTTTTTAAAGATTTTATTTGAGAGACCGGGGTGGGGGTGGAGATAGCAAGAGAGAGCACAAGCAGTGGTGAGAGGGAGAAGCAGGCTCCCCGCTGAACAAGGAGCCTGACATGGGGCTCAATCCCAGGACTCGGATCACAACCAGAGCCGAAGGCAGACGCTTAACCAACTGAGCCACCCAGGTGCCCTGGTATTTAAACTTTTGTTTTCCAGAGTGGCTACATAACTTCATATTCCCACCAGCTGTGTATGAAGGGTCCAATTTTTCCATATCATCAGGTTATTATTATTGTCTTTTTGATTATAGCCATCCTAGATGGTATGAAGTGGTATCTCATTGTGGTTCTGATTTGCATTTTTCGACTAATGATGTTATGCTTATTGGTCTGTGGTATATCTTCTTTGGAGAAATGTCTGTTCCCTTTGCCTCCATTTTTTTTAGTTGGGTTATTTTTATTATTGAGATGTAAGATTTCTTTATAAATATTCTAGACAGAAATCCTTATCAGATAGCCAACTGATTTTGACAAGGGTGCAAAAGCATTTCAGTGGCAGAGGGACAACTTTTTCAACAAATGGTGTTGGAGTACTTGGACATCCATAGGCATCAAAAATATTATATCACCCCTAAAGCATAAACAACCAAAGGAAAAAAAAATTGATAAATTGGACTTCATCAAACTAAAAAACTTTTGTTCTAGAAAAGACCTTGTTACGATGAAAGGACTGATATAAAATATTTATAGATCTTTTTATTTTGTAGGCTTTTTATTATTGAGTTGTAACAGTTCATTATATATTGTGGATACTAGACTCTTATCAGATATAAAATCTGCAAATATTTTCTCCCTGTGGGTGTCTTTTTACTTTCTTGATAATGTTATTTGAAGTACATGGGTTTTTAAATTTTGATGAAGTTCAAATTATGTTTTTTTTCCTTTGGTTGCTTGTGCTTTAGGTGTCATATCTAAGAAACTGTTTGGGTTGTTTAACCCAAGTCACAAAAATTTATTATTATTTTTTTAAGATTTATTTATTTGAGAGACAGAGAATGAACGAGAGAGAGCACGAAAGGGGGGAGTGTCAGAGGGAGAAGCAGTCCTGAGCAGGGAGCGTGACGTGGGACTTGATCCCGGGACTCCAGGATCAGGACCTGAGCTGAAGGTAGTTGCTTAACCAACTGAGCCACCCAGGCACCCCCCCCAAATTTATATCTATGCTTATTTCTAAGAGTTGTATAATTTTAGTTGTTACATTTAGGTCTTTGGTCCATTTTTTAGTTAATTTTTGTATATGGTGTGAAGCAGGGTTCTAACTTCATTCTTTTGCATATTTTGGTTATCTAGTTATCACAGCACCATTTACTGAATCAACTATTCTTTCCCTATTGAACTGTCTTGGCACACTTACTGAAAATCAAATGACCATAAATGTATAGGTTTGTTTCTGAACTCTCAATTCTATTCCATTGATCTGCATGTCTTTCCAACTGCTAGTATCACACTGTCTTAAATATTGAAGTTTTAAGTTCTAAAATTGGAAGGTGTGAATCCTCCAACTCTGTTCTTTTTCAATATTGTTTTTTGATATTCTGGATCCCTTGCATTTCCATGTGAATTTTAGAATCTGCTTGTCAATTTCTACCAAAAAAAAAAAAAGCTGTGATTTTGATAGGGATAGCATTGATTCTGTAAGTATTATGGGGGGATATTGCCATTCTATCAATAGTAGGTCTTTGAAACCATGAACACAGTAGGTCTTTCCACTTACATAGGTCTTCCTTAATATCCTTCAAGGATTTTTTTGGGGAAGATTTTATTTATTTGACAGAGAGAGAGAGCACAAGCAGAGGGAATAGCAGGCAGAGGGAGAAGCAGACTCCCTGCTGAGCAAGGAGCCTGATGTGGGACTCGATCCCAGGACCCCAGGATCATGACCTAAGCCGAAGGCAAACGCTTAACCGACTGCGCCACCCAGGCGCCCCAGGTATCCTTCAAGGGTATTTTGTAGTTTTCAGTGTAGAAGTCTGA